CAGCTTTCAGAGAAGGACTTTGTGGAGCTATCTTATCTTCAGGAAGAGACTATCAATGACTTTAATGCATCTTCCTCACCCCCTTTTCTTTTAGGGTCTCTCTGCCGTGCACTGTGCTGCCTGGCTATGATATCCCTCTGGTAAAAAGATGCCAGGTAAAAAGGGTCTATGCAGCCTTTGCATCAACCATGCAAAACCTCTGAGGGCAAGACAAAATACTGTTCGAATGTGCCACTGAATTTTGCAATATTCGACCTGTTCAGACTTAGGAAATGCCTTCAAGTCAGAGATCAGGCTACCAGGTACCACAAGTATAATTGTGACTATGCAATAGTCCGTAATGCAACAGCTCTAATGTGAAGTTATTACTGGAGGCACAGTGTTGATACCTGTGTTAAGCCTCTGAGCATTGCCCAGTGTGAACTATGTGTTTCCACAAGACTGAGCAGACCCAGACAGAGCTGATTGCTCTTGCAGTTAATAAAAAGCGCTGCACTTTCTCTCTTGACAATCCCGACACCTGAGTGCTTCCTACGTATGACAGTTAGCACATTCTGGTTGCTCAGTGGCCTGTGAGAAATGAGCCTCTTCTCAATTTAGTTCCTATCATCAGACAAGCGGTACACACAATAAAAAACACACCTTGACAGTCAGCCCCCAAAGTAGCCCCGGGGACCGAGGGTCCAGACTTTCCTTTCTCTCATATATGATCCCCATTAAATTGATGCAATTTATTGGACTGGATCCTGCTCCCTACTACCTCCAGGTAAATCAGGGTAACTCCACTGAGGTCACTCTGGTTCAGTGTCAGAGCACAGAGTAACCTAGAGGAGGGGAACCTCTCCTGACCCCACCAAGTTTCTTCTCTAGATGGAGCTTGTCAGGCTCTCCCTGGTCAGGGCAGGGTAAAAGTATTGCCTCTGTCATTACCTGAGCATTTGGCTGAGGAATTGCCCTTCCTGCAGCAAAGAGCATCAGAGCGGGTATGAGCTCCTTCTTCCCCAGGACAGTGAGAAAGGTGCACGGCAGAGGCGGGCTGGGGCAGGAGGAAGTGAGTGGATATTGCATGGGCTTCACTCCAGCCCAGCCCAGCCCATCAGGTTGTGTCAAATGGAGCTAATATAAATGTCAGTGCACTGCTTTCAGTGGTGAAATCTCTGTTTGTTGTAATACGGTTCATTTTCAGTCTTCCAGCTCTATGGATGCTATCAGCTGACAAGTCTGGCTAGTATCCTCTGCCAAAAATACACGCGCTTTCAACATTTCTCAGGAGTGTTTTTTTGTTTCCCCCCCCGCACCCCCCTCCTGTGACATACTCATGTCAAATTTCTTCTTCCTAGTGCTGTGAGACACAAGACTGTCCACACCTCCCAGATAATGAGTTTAACATTTCAAGGACAGAAGCTCTCAATCTGAGTGAGACATGGGTAGGATTGCAGGCCTGATTTGGGGCAGGTGCCAAAGGTGGCAGTGCTCTTCTAAGCTTCTTTGGCATGCTCTGTTTTAAAGTAATCAAAACCAGCAGAAACAGATGATGTATAGCTCAAAGTACCACCATTATTATCGCTATAGTTAAACAGTATGTTGTTATTAACAGTAGCTTGAATTCTTTCCTCACCATCCTTTGCTTTTAGGATAAGTTCAATGCCCTTTTTGCAGGTCAGGATGGAGCTGGGATCTCATCTTCTGCTGGAATCCTCCACAAGGTTATCCCATCCTGGCCCTCTATTAGTACAGTTATCCAGTCCACTTCAGCTTCACTTTCTCATCCACTGAGCCATTTGTCTTCTCTTTCCTGGCAACATCCTCTCTCTTGCCCTCCTCCAACCCTGGTCCCAGTGTCTCATGACTTCTTCCAACCACATTTTTGACTTCTTCCTCAACTTTCCCCTTTTTGTCTTTGTTTGTAGCAGTGTACAGTCTCTTGCTGATTTATCTGATGAGAAAATTGAATCAGGTTGTTTTTCTCTTTTTCCTCCTTCTGCCATTACAGTCACAAACATTTTTCTTCCTTTTTTTTTTTTTTTTTTTTTTTTTTTCACCCTTATAACCCAGAAGTCTAATTTTATTTCTTCATCTTTAGTTTCCCTTCTCATTTCCTTCCTCATACTCCCAAAACCTTTCACTATTCTCTCTTCACCAGGTCTCACAACACAATGCTTTATTCCTTCAATTTGTAAGCACTTCTCCTTGTCTGTGTTGCTTCTCTGGAGACCTTGTTCCCTTACCTATCTAGGCTTGCTCAATATGCTTTTTCCACCTCTTCTGTCCTGTGTACCCAACATTACGTCCCACTGAAATAGCTCTCAAAAAAATCTTTCCGTATTTCTTATTGGGCAAAACCTGGCAGCAGAATGCTACCCTCAACCTCTCGAACCATCAGCCACTTTTGACGTCATTGCTTAATTATTGAATTTTGTTCTTCTGGGCATCTGTGACTTAGTTCTGTATTGATGCTGCTCTTGTTGACTGAAGGTCCCTCATCATCATCCCCACCCTCCAATTCTGTGTTGGCTTTACAGATACCAATCCTTATTCTTTTTTCTGCTCCCGTACTCTTCTCTAGGCAACCTTGTCTGCATATACAAACTCAATCATCATTGCTATGACAATGACTCACAAGTCTACTCCAAATTTGTTTTGTTTTGTCCAAAAGTAAAATTTTAAGCAGTACCTTTGACATTTACTCAGGCATGGTGAGCTATCATCTTAAGCTGACCATGAATTTCTAATTTTCACTCCACAAAATCCTGCTTGCCTCATCTTATTTCTGTCATGACCTGCAGCCCACACTTACTGTTACTAAAACTTCTAATGCGAACAATTTCTTCAACTTGTTCTAATTCCTCTAATTTATTACATGCAGAATATCTATGTCCTTCTGAGCTTTATTTATAACAAACAGAAAAGATGCGGACTTTTCTGACTCTACACAACTAAAACTCTTACAGAGGATTGGAATTGCTTGCTTATTATCTGTGGAAACATCCCCTTTTCTGGACAAATTGGATCACATGCCTGTGTTTTAAAATTGTTCTGTAAATGTAATTTCCCTAACTTATTGGTGTGACCAAGTCAAAGCTGTCTTGGCTTCATTCCCCTGGCAGCCCTTTTCTCATGACAGTTCTTCTGTTTCATTAAACACAAGCTACTCTTCACTTCAGAGGCACTCTTCTGACTCTCACAAACCCTACAACTACAGCTTGGTCTGCTGAAACACTGCTGGCCCCCTCAGGAACAGGTTTTAGGGGCAGCCAAGGAGCCAGAGCCCCTTTACCCTCTCAGGATGTCTGACTAGAACATACACATTGTCTCCTTTTGAGGGCAAGAAGTGTGTTTGCAAAGCTCCTCTTCCATGGCTGCAACTGTAATTTGCTTGTTTTAGCTTTGCTTGTGCATTCCCTGGGATGAGACAAGATTTCCTATTTCATCAAGACCAAGCACAGCAGCTTCATAACTTCTCTAAAGGGTGCTGTGGAGTACCTCATGCGATACAGGTGATACATAACATGCATTAGAAAAATGGTTTAACCGGGCATAGTGGAACAGAATGGGACAGTAACCAGCAACAACTGCTTCAGACTGGGTGTCTGAAACACCCAGACTTTTCTCTGGCCAACTGGTGGGCCAGCTCACTTGGCCTCAGTTGCTCGTCTCTGACTTTGTCACACTGCCCACAGAAACACAGGATAACCACGATCAGAGTCAGTCAGTTCCTCCAGCCAGTGAGCATCAGTGGTGCTTTTATTTTGGCAGGCCAGCATAATTCCAGCAACCAGCACCAGGGAAAAACAAGCACACACACAGCCCTCTCCTGCCTGTGGCAGCCAGAGCACCTTTTAGACATCCTGCCTCACCTGCTGACACAATCCATCAGTGCCCACCAAAATCAAATGCAGCTAATTGGAAGGCGATGACAGCCCAGGGACTGCTGGATTTGCATGCTAATTCCTTTATTTAAGAGTCACACAGCCAAGTTACAGGTAAAATGAGACTGAGCACTTCATTCCAGATGATTTCCTGTCTTCTCTTTCCCAGCACACATGCACATATACACACACACTTTCTCTTGGGCTTTGCTGTCCTGAAGCCAAAAATCAGCTGGAGATTGCATTACATGTGCTTTCCAAAAAGCCAGCCAAGAACTGCAAGGGGCAACATGTTTTTGTCCTCTCGGTGGGACAGGACTGCAGCCTGCAGCTGTAGATGAGCCTTTAAATGGCACAGCAGCACAGCTTGCGGCTGGGGAGCGGAGCTTTTTCTGCAGGTTGGGTTACAGCTTCCTCCTGCTTTTTATGCCAGAGCCTAGGATGGATTCCTGGCTCTTGTTTCATGCAAAATTGTTGAAGTTTTTCTTCGAGTATCCAACCTCCTCTCCTGTTCTATCACTGGTGTCTGCCCCTGCTCCAAGTCTACCAATTATTTCCTTTAAGTGTCAGCAGCACACCAGACACACAGAGATATAACCTTTCTTCAAGTTGATGCTGTTAAACTATTACTTGAAACTGAAGTCGCAGTTGACAAGTGCTACTTCAGTCACTAATAACTACTTCAGAAGTGCTAGTGGTGTCTTGGCTCTTAAAGTTGTGGCTCAGGGCTCAGAGAACGTCTTTACAGGTCATTTAGAGCCATCCATCTGATCCGAAACAAGATCAGTCAATCTCCCCACTGGCTTTGTGCCTTGCTTGCCTCAAGGTCCTTTGTTCATGCCCCCAGAGCTGCAGCGGTGGTGCATCTGGGTGGCTGGAGTGGCCATCCATCTTCTGGAAGGTGAATATGGCCCATTTGTGGGTTGAGGCTCTCATCTCCTTGCCCTCATCACAATTTCTACTATTTTTTTTATTTATTTTATTTTATTTTATTTTATTTTATTTTATTTTATTTTATTTTATTTTATTTTATTTTATTTTATTTTATTTTATTTTATTTTATTTTATACTATATTTTTATTCTGTTCTGTTATTTTATATTATATTTTAAATATTTTTATCTTTTTAAAGCAGGCTGAATACTTTCTTGAGAAAATCAGGATGCCTGTATGGAAGGAGCAGGACAAGCGTTCATGCACAATTCCCATCCTTGCGGCAGCAGGTAGGAAATAGTCTTTCTTTTGTTTTGCACTCCCCTATTTTCAGGCTCAGCTCCTTCAGTCTAATCAAAACATTTGAGGTATCTCAGAGCCAGAGGCTTCTCTGTTTGGCAGGGGTCACAAACATTTCCCTTATATTTTGGCAGGTTTTTGGCACAGTCTTAGGATAAATTGGGAAGAGAGTAATATAAGACAAGGCCAGATCATCTAGGTCACTGAGCCTTATGCCCTGTTACTGCAAACAATCCTGTAAGAGATGTTAAATCCAAAACAACTTCCACTTTTCCTTTGCCTCCTGCACATAACAAGCCACGATGTGGTATAACAAACTAGGGCTGGCTTTTCAACAGAAAAAAAGACATGTCAGGTTTTAAGTCTCCTTGACATGACAATGTCTTCATCTAAATCCTGAAGCCATATTTTGGATAGCCCAGCCTTGGTCTAATGTCTTTTAGAAAATGATGCTCATTTAATTCCTGAAATGTGAAATCTAGGTCTCAGGTCAAGAGCAGTGATGTTCTTCAGCTGAAAAATTCAGATCCATCAGAAGCTGTCTGTATGAGTCTGTAACTTTTCAAACTTTGGATTGCACCTCGGCTTTTACATCTATAGGTAGTCTTTTGAAGAGTGGGATCTAAATAAAAATACCCTTGAAGAATGGGGCATTTTTTATACTTCCACCCCTGCGATTTATTTGAAGAAAAAAGACTTCTTCAGGGCCACAACCTGTCTGCACAGAACAAATAGCCAGACCTCAGCTTAAACTTTATCCCTCCTTTACGCAATATCCAGCCCAAAATTTCTTCTCAGGCAGCAGTTTGATGGGATGTGATGGGAGATTCTCCTAAGATACCAAGGGTGTAGGGACTTGCCACCATGAGAGACCTGGAAGCACCCCTGTCAGAGCAAGGCTGCTTTGTGGAGTGCTGTATGCGCTCCCAGAAACTCAGGTCGGGAAAAAAGCTGTCAGAGACTTGAGTCTATTGAAAAGCGTGTGGATTACATCTAAACAATCATAACTGCTATTACTGTCAGTGGCGATATTCTCTTCTTGACACGTATGTGTTACTACTAACCTTCCAAGCTATTTCTAGATATTAACTTTACAAAACCCACAGAGACTGTTAAGGATTGTGGAGTTGTGCCCATTCCACAGGCAGACAAAATATACTAGAGGCTAAAATTAGGCTGATTTGGGATAAAACATAGATAAATAAATAAAACAAATTATTCTCTTAGTAATCATATGGACAACTTAAATTTAATCCCAAGCAATCAAGAATCACCCTTTTATGGCTCCTGGATGACAGACCTCTGGTCAAGCCACATACACCCTGGTAGTAATTGGCTTACTTAAATCTCTTGCCAGACAAATTTGTAACCCTTGTAAGTTGTGTTGGTTATTGGCAGAATGTATCTACATCACAGGGAAATTTTTATCCTCAGTGGGGAATACAGCTGGGCCAAAGGAAAACTTGTGTTCCACCTGTATCTAGCACAGATTGTGTATGCATATGAAAAGGCAACAGAAAGCCCATTCATAAGGCAGTTGGGTCTTTATATCCTCTCCATGTGTATGAACTTATGGTTGTATGAACAGCCATACCGAGTTATTGAAGTGTTTGATGACCCCAACTGCTCAAGGCCTTCTTATTCCATCTCATTTCCCATTGAAGTTTTGTACAACCTTTTTACTGGCTTTCAGCCTGCAATAAATACAAATGACTTGCCAATAAAAGCTGGTGTCTCCCTCTGTCAGGAGGACTGTAGCATCATTGTTATTTAAGAGGTGGCAGTTTTGACACAATGCTTATTTAAAATTCGTAAAAGAAAAAAAAATGATGTAATAAATCTGCGTGTTCTTTCTAAGCAGCTATTGAAAGTCTGAATGCTCTTCCCCTTTCCAAAAGCATCAGCCGTTTAATGTTTCCTAAGTTGTTTTTACATGAATTAGGGCGTTTGAGTGAAGCACTGTCAGTTACAAAACCGCGCTGTTGTCTCCAGCTAATTTTGTTTTAGCAGCTCTTTTAAACTGCTAAATCTAGTTTTTAGTGTATGATGATTTTGTTTTGTGATGGTGTAAAACAGCTGCTACTTTTCTGATGAGTTGCCTGTTTTCCATTTTATGTCTCTGCAAGATGTTGAGTTTCATCATGGCCCAGTCTGACAAGCAGCTGAGAAGAACCTGCAAAAAAACAAAATCACAACAAAGATCCTCCAGTCCAGGGGTTCAAACATCCACATGCCCAAACTTAGAATGATCAGTTCCTCCTCATTTTTACCCTGAGATTGTCTTGGACCTATACTAGGACCATTAAAATGAGGACAAGAAAGTAGTACTAGAAGGGAAGCAGATTACTTGCTGTGTTAGGAAGATACACGAGAGGACATCCAAGTCCCCCAGGCTGTTTCTGGGGCACTGGTGCAGACTTGGACAACTGTGCTGGTTGTGCTGTTGATGTGCATGTTGTTAAAGAAGATACCACAAATCCCTTGCAGCAATTGATAGGAGAGATGGCCAAACTGGCACCTATCAGGCTTTTCTGCACTGGGGTGACAGAAGACAGCTGTCCAAGAGGGTGAACTGAACTTGAGCATTTGGTGCTTGCTTCACCTGGATTCTCCCCAATACCAGAACGAGAAAGTAGAGCCAGATAATTTTTTACCAGATAATTTTTAGCTGTTTACATATCATTAACTTTTAGCAAAGGCCAGCTACAGAAGCCCAATGAGGCTGGCATACAGCAATGGAAGGCAGCCCAGACATTCACCTCTCCTCCCTCTGGCCAGTGCTGCATCTCCTGGGACATGAGTTTTGTAACATTTCTTTCATACTCTCACCTCTCTGTCTAGGTATGCCAGAAGGATGGAATTATGGCTGGGAGTGGCTTTCCAAACTAAGTACCACTCCACCTCAGGCTCTTTTGAAATTCTTGGGTACCAGGCTCTTCTCGTTAGCAGGACCCAGGATGTAGCCCCTTGTGGCAGTCAGGAGACGGGAGCAAGGACCAGACTGACTGTGAATTAGCTACACCCCAGTAACACTTCAGCCTCCCTTAGGGCAAATTCCTCTTACTTTGTGCAAGGTATCTTGCACTTTATGTTTGCCAGAAGTACTCATGAGGATGCACATTGCATTCTGTATGTCACCCTTTAGCTACTCAGTTTCCTACACAGGCAAACAACCCTTCTTTACTCAGTGGCAGAAGGCTGAACAATTGTCTTTGATCTGTCTTATCCCCTGTGTTCTCTCGGCTGGCATTTTTTCCATGTGTACCACATCAAGAAAATGATGAAAAGTATAAAAGAACTGCTCAAGGAACTCCTCAAAGAGATGTAGACTAAGATCTTTCCAATAGTAACCCACACCCCATAAAAGCATCTTAGATTTGGATAGACAAATTGGAAGCAGCTCGCCTCCCTGATTCTTCCTTCCCTTTGTGCTTACCTCTCCCCAGAACAACATACAGGCTTTTCCATAAGCTGTGCAGCCCATTGAACAGCAGTGGTCCAAACTATTATGGAGATCTTAAACTGCTGAATTGTTACAAGCTAAAATTGATTGCCTACTGAGCCTGTGAACTGAAGTGCTAGAAAGTGCATAGAGAGAGATAGGGAAAAGGTGCTAAGGATTTTGCTTCTTTATGCTTCTTTTTTCCACTTTTCTTTTGCAAGAAACACCATCATAAGCTTTCCAAGCAATCTTGCCTTAATGATTTCTACATCTCTCTCTCTGAATAACCATTGGACAGTTTCTCCTGGTATTTCCAACATAAAAGGTATTCCCAGTTTGTCTTCTAATTTGCTTGTTGCTGTGTCATTGCTGAAGAACTGCACAAGTGTTTCAAAGTCAAATCCAGAGGGAAAATTGATGACGTGGATAGTATGACATTTAATCCACCCTCAAGCTAAAAAGCCTTTTTAGTTTTCTAACACTAAAATTCCTTTCTTAGCCTGTTTCACTCTATTCTACATTGGTTTTATTAGCACCCTCATCACCAGAGCATCTGAACACCTTCAAGTAGTACATTAAGCAACGTGACTAACATCTGTCACGTATAGTTTTCTCGTTCTCTCTCAGCATCTTTAAAATGAATTCAGTTCTTGTGCTAGATCGATAGCACTGGAGACAGCCGGTCTCTGTACAGCCCTGGCAGAGGCACAGCATGCAAGAGACCCCTGGATGCCCCCTCCACCCCCCCCCCCCCCCCCCCCCAAGTACCTGTTGCCCCTCTGCCATCACTATCATTTTGGGTACAAATTTGGAGCAAGTTTCATCACAGCAGGACAGAAAAGTATAAGCTGTTCTGGGAGGTCAGATGAGGTTATCCATGGTAAATTTCTGCCACTTGGAGCCTTTGACAGAGACAGTGGTTTCAGGTACTTGAACTCAGGTCAATACAGGTCCCATGCTGAGTAGGGCTGGCAGCCCTATCCAATGGAGCCAGCACCAGGAGCAGGATCCAGGATCCTGAGGCACTGTAATTTCAAGCAATATGTTTTCTTAATGGGCCAAGTACACTTTGCCTAATTTTGCTTTGAGTGCATGGGACTGTTATTGCTCAGTGGCCTCACACAGGTGTTTAAGCAGTTCTGTGGTTTGATTTCTCAATAGCAGCATAAGGTTTTATTGGCTGTTACCTAAAGAGTAACTTCAGAGTAAATGAGCATTTACAAACAGTTGTGATGGATGCACATGGAGCTATGGCAGAAATCTCATGAGAAAGTGACCCCTTTATCATGGTCTGAGTATTTTGGGTAAAAGTGTAAAGTAACTGAAAAAGGAACTTTTTTTTTTTTTTTTTTTGCATAGTAAGAAGAATTAGGAGAATTTATGCTTCCCCAGAAAACCGTTGGCTTCTCAGTTCTGATAATATGAACATACTGAGGAAAATTCAATAAGTAAATCGAATTCTGACGTTTGTGAGGATACTGCAGTAAGGGGTATGTTCTGGTTTATGAATGTGTGTTACATGGCTGACTAGGGGACTCTGGTCTCTGT